CTGAATAGAAAGGATAAAGGAAAAATTGGACTTTACAAATAAAATTCTTCTGCACAACCCCAAGTTTATTTATTGTCATCAGGCTGAAGGTTTAATTGTTTAGTGATACCGGTATGTTACGGGGATATGCAACATCTAGCCAAGAACGAATTTCCTCGCTTTGGACAGTATGGCGTGGTGAATGTGGGCCAAGAGAGCAATGTGGAGTGGTGGAGTGTTCCAAAATTTCAAATTGCCAAAATTGTCGCAGCTTCTGCATTATGCTGCGGCTATTGCCATTTTTCAGCATGCTGTAAATATCCCAATTTCATTTACCAGTTGCTGAAAAATTCATGTTTAAAACTATTATTCAGAGAGGGGTGCACTGGATTGGATATAAGTCGCCCTTTTCCGTTTTGAACTCGGATGGCGAGCCAATTTGATGATGGAAAAAAAGGAGGAGGACAAAAAATGTTATGAGTTATGACTAACTGTTCGCCAGCGTAACCAGATCATATCAAATGCGCAGCTCCACACAGTGCACTTCCGACCTTGTGCGGTCGAGCGCGAGCTCAGGAAGGTCTCCCCTGCAAAAGCCACAGGACCAGACGGCCTGCCTGGCCGAGTCTTGCGGCAGTGCAGCAAGGAACTTTCAGTCCCTGTGTCGAAACTGTTTGCCAAGTCCTTTCGGGCAGGACGCCAGCCTACCCTATGGAAGACTGCCATGGTTGTACTCATCCACAAGAAGAAATCGAAATCTGATGTGAGCAACTACAGACCTATCTCACTCCTCCCATCTTGTCCAAGGCGATGGAGGTTACCATCAATGGTGCCCTCGGGAAATTCCTTGAGTCAAACAATATCCTCTCCCAGAGCCAGTATGGGTTCCGCAGCAGACTTTGCACCCAGGATATCCTCACCCTATTGAATTCGCACTGGGGCAGGGTGGCCGCAAGCGGTGGTGCAGTATGGGTGATCGCAGTGGAATTGGCTGGTGCGTTTGACCGTGTCTCGCACACCGGAGTGCTCCACAAGGCAGAGTGCTATGGCGTAGCTGTTCATCTGCTTGGCTGGCTTCGCGACTACCTGAGCAACCCGAACCTAACCGCAGCTGTTGGCGGGGAACTATCTCAGCCCTACCCGGTGAGAGCTGGTGTCCCCCAGGGCAGCATCCTGAGACCCACACAGTTAATCCTGTACAGAAATGACGCCGAGGACCATCTCCTTCCTGGAATGGACCTCACAGCATAATGCCGACGACACTACGCTCTTCAACTTCATCACCTCAAGAGTATATACCTGGCAGCTCTACTATCATGCAACAGGGTGTGGATGCACTGTCTCACTGGGGCATGGAGTGGAAAATCAAGTTTGAGCCCTCCAAGCCCCAAGTCATGACAATCGCACATCATCGCCAGCCTTGGCAGCTCCCGGGAACCACTTTCGACGCTCCGCCAGTCAACGAAGCAGGCTACCTGAAGCTCCTGGGGTCACCTTTGACTCCCAGCTGACATATGCACAGCACCACCGCATGATCCGCTCCAGAGCACAGCAACGCCTAGGCTTCCTGCGGAAGGCCTCTGCTATCCTAGAGCCCCCTGGCCAACTCCGAGCCTACAATGGGTTTGTCCGCCCTGTGCTGGAGTACTGGCTTGGTGCGCCACCCTCACACTTGGCCAAGCTAGACCAGATCCAGCGACGGGCCATCCACATCATCGGATCGGGCTCCTGGCTCCCTAGTCTATCTCTGCGGCGGACAGTGCATTCGCTTGCATACTTGCACAAGCTATTCTGCCTGGATGCGGACAGCCGGCTAAAGAAGATCCTCCACCCTGGTGCCCAACGTCGACCTCAGGACATACAGCCCACCAGTGTGTCTGCTCAGCCTACGCACCTACACCAGCTATCAATTAACCTCCCAGCAAGCACGCGAAACAGCTGTCCTCGCGCATTTCCTGCCAGCGCTGTGCAGACACGGAATGCTCTGCGCCAAAGCATGCTGCTGAGACCACCTCCCCCCCCCCCCCACCTGCAGGGCCTGCAAGCCTTTAAGTGCCGTGTCCACCGTCACCTCCAGCTGCACCACTGGAGCTGGGTGACTGAGAGCCTCTAGCAGACCTCTCACACCCACCTCAGTCGTAGTGCACACATCGCGTCTGAGACCGTGTCTTTTTTCGCTAGCTTATACTCTCCCTCGCTCTATGTTGCGGCACACTAGCTCCCTTGTTCATGTAATAACTGGCGTACTGTAACAATTATGAATGCTGGCCAAATAGCTGAGGCTGCAGTCACCTCACCCATCATCTCATGTTTTCAATGTTCCTTTTATTTTACTTTAACAATTTCGCAACCTCTCTCCTTCCCTCCTTCTCTCTCTCTCACTCTCTCTCTCTAACTCTCTCTCTCTCTCTCTCTCTCTCTCTCTCTCTCTCTCTCTCTCTCTCTCTCTCCCTCTCGCTCTCTCTCGCTCTCCCTCCCCCACCCACTCTTGGTGCGTCTATGTGGCCATGAAGTCGAGACCCTAGGTTGGCGGAGGTCCGTAAACCTCACCACCATTGCCACGATCTAGGTTGTGCGTGCTTCCCCTAGCTGCATCTCATGTTTGGCATTTAAGTGGTCTTTGTAAAAAAAATCAGTCAGCGAGTGCGACATAATGGCACAAAACTGACAAGGAGTGCTGAGACATTCAACGACCTGGCACCTAGCGCCAACACTTCCCCCGAGGTGCAAACCATCAACCTTCCAACTTGGAAGGCTCCGGGTAGGAAAGGTTGACCCAACTTGGTGGTGTCAGGGGCGTAGCCCGCAGGATCATGGTCAAGGGGGGTGCCCATAATTTTCTTCCAAAAACGTTCTTTTGAGGAATCTTGTATATGCATGCTAGTGCGGTGTACACCTTGAATTTATGTATTAGGAATGTCTCGCAGAACAGGATCATGGTCAAGGGGGGTGCCCATAATTTTCTTCCAAAAACGTTCTTTTGAGGAATCTTGTATATGCATGCTAGTGCGGTGTACACCTTGAATTTATGTATTAGGAATGTCTCCAGCTTCTCATTCCAACAATCTATAATAATTGCACATTTGCATTGCATTTTCAACTGTTCTCTATGTATCGTCATGATGTGAATAGAGCGAAAACATTCAATAAAAAATTGTGCCTCTTCTGTGTGACAGCTAGTGTACTGTGTACTATTTTATTATTAAAGTGATAGTTTGGGAGTAGATATCCGATACTAATGTTGTATTTAGAGCAAGCAAAATTAATAGTTTGCAGGTGACTGGTGACTGGAAATCAAGTCAGGACCCACGGTTCAAGCTGAATCTGGTGCAGCAGCTTGAGGTTGTCGGGGAATCTCAAGCACGCACACAGAGTGCACCCGACACAACGAACACCCACTCAGTTCATATGGTTTACAAAGTTGAATGCATGATAGGATTAAAGTAACGGGAAGAGAAATAGAAAGTCGAAACTGTCTTCATGCCATTGCAATAATAATTACAACCCCTGAACACCGCGTGGTTGAGAGCTCTATCTGCTCAGGGGGTGCATGCATGCGTGCACAGCACACCCACACGTAATGAGTCTGAAGCACATGCCAGTACGTCATATTAGGACGTGACGTGGCAACGTGATACTAGTACATGCCCCCTAGTGACAATTGTCACTAAAAATGAGGAGAAGAAGATAAAAAACAGTACCAATTATCGCAGAATAGGAGCCAATAAATTGAGAAAACAAAACAAAAGAACCAAATTTATGACACACACTATTAAACGTCAATCGTCAGAGACGGCCAAAACACGAATTAGAGTCACGAGTCAGACCCAAACTCGGACAAAGCAGAGAACATAGAGGTCTCAAGAGCCATACCTACTAGGCTCACGGAGCAGGGCTCTGTCGCGGAGAAGACGACCACCAGCGGTGTCATCAGGTACACCAGCCAAAGGCACATGGTCCAACGGCTCGTCATCGATAATACTAGCTACATCTAGTGGCTCAGGGATACGACTGGAATGACTTCCAGCAGGCTTCAGCAGCTCTGTGTTGACGAGTTTTTCTGCTGTGCCACGGCCAATCACGACAGTTGAGGGACCAACGACTCGCTTGACGATCCAACCTTCTTCGAATTCGGGGAGTCGTTTCTGGTGCCGGTGTGGACGGCGGAAGAGAACAGACTCTCCAGCCGAGAACGCTTGAGTTGGCTCCTCGACAAAATCGCAGGACGACAACTCTGATTCCAGGAGATCGTACATGGCTGAGGCGCGACGCTGTATTTCCTCCGTCCAGCGGGGAAACGACCAATCTGTTGGGGTAGCATCCACCACGAGACTGCGGGGCTGCCAGCCAACCATTGCTTGCATAGGTGAGACACCGGTGACACTGTGGGGCCTGTTGCGGTAGAAGTACAGGAGCATAGCTAGGTCAACCTGCCAATCACTGGACTCGTCGAGGACCTTCCGCACCAAGGTCAACAGCGTTTGGTTGAACCGTTCTGCGGCACCTTGCGATTGGGGGTGGCGAACTGCGCCAAAACACACGTTGACCCCAAGTACCTTGTAGAGGGATGACATCAGGGCATTGTGAAGCTCGGTGCCGTTGTCGGAGCGGATAACATGGGGAGGACCCCACCGAGTGCAGACACTAACAAATGCATCGGCGACAGACTCAGCATCATGGCGAACAAGTGGGACGACCTCCACCCACTTGGTGAAGGTGTCAATGCAGACAGGAACGCAGTGATATCGGCCAGACTTGTTGGTACCAAGCTCGAGCGTGTCAATTTGCACAACACGCCAGGGACCATCGGGAGTTACAGGTCGCGTTGGTTGCGGTAGACAAGGTTGAGCAGGATTTGCCGCACGGCAGGTAGTGCACTCTGACACGTAGTCACGGCAGCGCTGTGCCATACCAGGGAAATAGCATTGGCTACGGAGTAGACGCCACATACTTTCCCAACCGGCGTGACCACTCACAGTATGGGCGACTGCAAGTGCATCGGCAGTAAGACTCTGGGGAAG